CAGCCAGCCCGAGAAATCAGGATCAGGGCTTTGAGTCTCCTCAGGCTCAGGAGGGCACTGAGCCTTGTCCTTCTACACTGTGGGCAAGTAGCCCACAGAACGGAGGCACCGTAGCCTCCAGTACAGGCCCAAAGGAAAGCAGCCATCCTGTATTTCTGTAACCCAGCCCAGCCCTGCGGAGGGGTGCTGAGCACAGCCCCAGCATCCGTATGGGATACGGTACCAGGCACGTGCATCAGTCTGGGCGAGCATCTCAGGAAGGGACGAGGTGCCCTCCATGTGGATTAGTTTTATACAAAGGCCAGTTGCATTGTGGCACTATTACAAAAAAAAGAACAAAACTGCTTCTGCATGTAGTCCTTGGCTAATGGGAGCAGAACCCTGACACTTATACTTGCACTAGGAGCAGGTCTCATGGCTGTTCTTACCCTAAGTCAAATACAGAATGAATAACTTCAAAGAGAGCATGGTAAGTAGATCACATCATTAAGGAAGAAGTAGGACCTGAACTGTAAGCCTGAGGTTTGCTGACCTATCAATTCTCTGGATGACTCCTTATCCCAGACTCGCATTGCATACTTGCATCTCTAAAGCAAGCAGTACTCTGAAGTGCTAGGAAGTCTGGACTACGCTGAAGTGCTTCCGAGCACCTTGATGTTAAAAGCTTTTCAGGTTCAGAGTCTTAAAACCATCTAAACTATTCAGAGAAAAAAAAAACCACCCAAATACCACAAACCAAAATCTCACAACCAAAAGCCACCGACAAAAAACCCATCACACCCACAGAACAGATTCCCCCACCACCCCCTCCCATACATACATAGTGTAACTATCATTAATATATCCTGGGAGAAGAGTGAAAAGCTTTTTTCAACAACAAATCCATAGAACCTACTGTCCATTTGCAGTGGAAATTTAGATATGCAAACTTTTCATTCAATGGAAAAGGAAATAGCTTTCTTCTACAAAACTGGCTGAATTTGCCCTTAATTAAGAACAGTCATGGAAAATACAAACCCTTGGAGAAGTGTTCCTTTAAGCTACAAAAGAACCAAAACTGGATGTATTTTATAGTAAAACTACATAAAACCAAAATGGGGCAGAAGCTTTCTTTGCAGTGCTTTGGTATATTTGAGGTTGTATTTCTCTAGTCTATTTTTAAAAACCTCTCCATCTTACAACCGCCTAATCTGAAGTCTTGCAATTCAGGAAAACTGCTGATTTTTTAAAATCTGTTGTATAACTTTCAGTTCAAAGGCAACAGCTCTCCTTTAAGAGGAGCTTAAGGCCACCCTTATCGAGGAAAGGAGGAGAAAGAGGAGCAGCTCCTTAGAGAAGGAAGGGCTTTAAACAGGAATCTGCTGCACAGCTGACCTACAGCCTGCATTAAGGAGACAGGTGTTTTGCTACTCATTACATTTTTTTTTTTCTTTTTTCCAGCTGATAGCATGTACAGCATAAGATATCTTACAAGTCACAGTCTAGCTTCTACCTTTAGCTGCTTTTAAAGTACTTATTTTTAAGTACTTTAAAACTTAAGTACTTTTAAGTACTTACACTCCAAGGGTGGGAGCTACCTTCATATTACATTGACTCTTTTTAAGATTATCCAGTAACTCAGATGCCTGAAATGTCCTTCTACTTATCGTTAATATGGAGCCATTACAACCTTCATTGAGGAGAGAGAAACACAACACTTTGTTTTCCCCATAAGCACGGACTACCTTTAGGAGCCTCTTTTTGCTTTGGGAAACCTACAGAGTTGCTTGTTGGCAGGCAACTCTGAACAGCAGAATTTCAAGTTAACAGGCACCGTATAGAGCAAGTTCTGCAAGGTTGCTCTGAAGCCAGTTGCTTAATTAGCATTTTACCTGAGCTGCCTGAGAAGGCAAACTACCCACCTCATGCTTTTAAAAGACACTAAACCAGAAAGATTTATTAAAGTATTCTTTTGTCAGACTTCATACAACCACATCATTTGCAAATAAGTTAAAACCCCTATCATTACCTTTCTCAAACAGGCAGAAAACTTGAGGCCAAGACATAGAAGAATCACTCCTTTCCCAGGAGCCCAAAGTAACTGCAAAGCAAGCTTAAGTATTTCCCAGCCTTTTCCTAGACCTATCTGTGATAAGCCCTAATTATCCCACAGCTGGAGCGAGAGAGTCCCCAAATCACATTTCATTAGCAACTGAATGAATTCAGCCTTATATGCATTGCATCATGATAAAGTTAATAAATCTTATTGCTCAATGAAATCCACCTACAACAGGCAAAGACTGAAAATGTAAGTGACGGCAATCTCTGATTAGTGTTTTCATTAGCATGACTTTAGAAGATTAAGAGTAACATAATAATTAACTTTTTTGTTGTTGCAAACCAAATATTTAGTATAGGTAATTTACATAATTTGTGTTTGGAAGCTTTCTATATAACC